ATTTGACGGAAGTTAGTTTTCCGTCCAATTGGGACCTTATTTGAGAATTTCGTGGAGTTTAGGACCTTAATTGAGTGCAATTAAAGTTTAGGTCCAACATTACAAATTTTGTATAAATTTGGGTCCTTATGTCATATTTATGCCAATAATAATTTTCATAGTCACAAACTTGTGTTGTTTTTTTGACTATTTTTCAGTGATGAAATATCATTTTAGTTATAAATTTATTTCATCAAAATTAAGCATTTGTATATCTATAACCAATATTTGTAATCTGTCATAATATTGTGATGAATTATAATGATGATTTTTATTATCAAAAGACTATATTGTAACTATGTGTGATACCCCAAAAATTTCTAGAATAAACAAGTGAGTTAGGGACTGATTTGTGGAAAAATATTGTTTTGGGACTTATTAGCCAAAATGTCCAAACTTGAAGGACTTAAAAGGGTAGAAAATTGGATAAGGATGGCTGATATTTTTCTCCTTTTTCCTCTTTTCTTCTTCCCTGCGTGCTTTTGCTCTTCCCGACCCTGCTGCACCCGAAAGAAAAAAAAAAAGGAACCCAGCCATGCCTTGGAAAACCGGTGAGAAAGCTTGGTTTTTGGCATTCTTTTCTTGCTCTAGAACAAGATTGGAACCTAGAAATTCCCCCCCTGCTGGAAAATCCGGATCTGCTTTGCTCTGTCCGCCAGCTACTCTTGTTGTGGGGGCGAAATTCTTCAAATTCTGGTAAGCCACCGCCATGTACTCCCTCTCTTTAGCCTTGATTTCACTTGGGTTTACCTTAATTGCTCTTGGTTCCTTCAAATTTTGGTAGCCTGTGAGCTTCTCCCCAAATTCCCGCCGGCCTCTTCCCCCTGCCAGGTTCGGTGCTGCTGCTGGGAAAATTCTGGTATGTTGACAGCTCCAAGCCCGAAATTTTATTAGTTAATTACTGCCCCATAAGCTGTCCGAATGTTTGCTAAATTAGGGGATAATTTCGGTAGCTTTAGGATGAGATTTAAACATTAATTCAAGTGGGTTTTTGTTTAATTTAAGTGTAAATTGCTTGAGTTGGTTGCTGTGATTTTTGGAGAGAAAATCCCATGAATTAGCTAGTGTTTTGGCCAATTTCGGAAGTGCAGCTACTGTTCACGCCGTGATTACTGTTCACGCCACTGTTCATGGCACTGTTCACACACTAATGGCCAACAATTAACGAGGATTTAAATGATTAGTTTGTGATATAAAAACAAATTTGGAGATATTTGATAATGTGAAGACTGATGGAAATAGCATCATGATTAGAGGTAATCCTAATGAGGATTTCAGTTGAATTGGTGATAGTGTGGTATTAATTTTGAAATATTTTGATTAGGTTCCTGATCGTTCTGTCAGTTTAGTACGTGAATTGAGTGCTCGATTTTACGTGATTTGAGGTAAGTGGATTTATGGTAATGCGTACTGTTTTTAAAAGCATGTTTTGATTTGTTTTTGAAATGGTGGCGGGACTAAACCCGTTTTACACAAATAAGAGCATGATTGATTTGAAGTGAAATTTTTATGCTTTTCATTAAATTGAGCATGCCTACTTGAAATTTAATTGATTGTCCGATGATTTGAAAGTGATTGTGAATTATGATTTGAAAGTTAACTTTTGCCTGTTTTGTCTCCGATGTGGTTATGTTATTGATGATCCTGCTAGTGGGGGTTAAACGCTAGCACATGTCGACAAGTTATTGATAGAACCGGTTCGTTCAACCCTGCTAGTGGGGGTTATACACCAGCAAATATTGTAGCCTGCTAGTGGGAGGTTTATAACATTGGTCATGACCTATAGAGGAGATGTCTATTTCGTTCCCGTACTGTATCTGTTTTTCGTGATTGCACTTGTTGGCATGCTATAAGTTTAATTAAGGGCACTCCATATTTTACTTACTAAGTTTATCTCATAGTTTTCCTTATCCACCATTTTAGGAAGTGGAATTGAGGACGGGGAAACCATGGGAAGTGACGAGTTAGAAGGCTAGTCATTTCGAGATTGACATAGATTTTAGATATAGATCCTGATCTTGTAAACTGGATTTTAATTGGAGATTTTATAAATTCATTGAATGGATTGTTAGTTACAAGAGATTTGACCTTGAGTTATAAGATTTGATCTTCAAATTTTGATGGTATCAGATTGTGAATTGGATAAGTTCTGAGCCTTGTGCATTTGTGGGACCCTCTCATGAGTGCACGGCGTCTGTCGCGCCTCGAAATTAGGTTTTGGGGTGAGCAGATTTAGTGGTATCAGAGCTTAGGTTTAAATTAAGAGCTTAAAAGATTAAATTAAGCACCTCCAGATTGAGTGGTATCGGAGCTTAGATTTAATTCAATACCTAGGTTTAATTGAATACCTAGGATTTGTTTTGGACTTGGCTGGCCAGTGGATTTGATTTTAGAACCGTGGTGAGATGAGTGATGGGGTCATATAAGGGACGATTCTGATTCATGTTGCCTGAATTTTCTAATCCATTTTGATGAGATGGTAATCTGATTATTCTTGTTCCTACCTCCATACTATGTGTGAAGTTGTGAAAGTAATCTTGCCCGTTATGTCCTGAAGACCTTGTTTTGAAACTTGGTCATTTTTTGATAGTCTGCACTTGTTTAGACTTGTTACGTGAATAGAATTTTTGTATGCTCTTTTGCCACCATTGTAAAATTTGGGGAGTTGCAGAGATTTTTGCTACTGATCTTGTTGGTCTCTACCACATAGCTGGTTGAGAAATTTCTTCTGTTTGTCACATGACCAGTGGAAGATGGGCAACCCTCTATTTTATAAGAGATTCAAGGCTATTTTAGCAAATGTTGTGTGTTTTCTGGATACATTTTAGGAGCCGGATAACGTGGTAATTTCGTTGCTCATTATCTTTCTGAAAGTCTCATAGTGAAATTTCACGTTTTCCATTTGAAGCTTCATGGTCTTTTCATGTGGCTCATTTTTCTATATTGGTTAATCAAAAACAGTGATCAATTCGATTGAAATTGCCATGTTTTTGTGAAGATTGGCAAGTTGTCATAAAGTTAAACTCTCTATTGTTGCTAATCTCTATATTCTTGATGTTTGTTGAAACTGCTTGAAACTTCTAAAATCCGTCTTGAATCTTTCTTGATATTGCTTTGTACTTGTTCTTGAAACTGAAATCCAAAGGAAATGGATAATGATTATTGAAATCCTCATTATCTTGATACTTGTCTGAAATTAATTCTTGCACTGTTCTTGGAATCTTATCTTGAACCTTGCCTGGAGTAAAGTCATGTTAGCATCCTTTTCTTGAAAACCAATTGATATTTGGAATCTATTTTGAATTGTCCTTGAAAACCATTCTTGTCTTGACCCTGCTCTTGTTCAAATCTTGTATATTGCCTTTGCTCAAATCCTGCATATTCTGCTAGTTCTTGTTTTAGTATGCCTGTTGATCTTGATTTTGTTCATATGGACACCTCTTTAGGAGGGGTGATGATTATTAGGAAATACCTATATGAGGCATCTCAATTCCTGTCTCTTGCAAGTATTCATCTCTGTATTCTTGATGTCCTGACTTTGACTTGACTCTAGGATGACTTGATTGTAAATCTGCTTAGCCTTCATGGGCTACGAGGTGAGGGGGTAGTCTTTGAAGTACCTGATGCCCTAGAGTTTTGTTCTGTTAATTAATTCTAGTACTTGAGGTGCTAGATCTTGACAACCTGGTTATATCTGCTTTTGAATTCGTGTTCTGGTTGTCATTATTGAAATCTCTTTTATGGGCCTAATCCTTGAATTCTATTGCTTGTTTCATGGTTAACTCTTGTCTCTCAATTTTGATTGCTTGGTTAAATTTGATCTTGATTCTTAGTGAATGTCGCTTTGTTGCTGAATTTTTGAGGCATTCTACCTTGCACTCTTATGTTCCAGTATTCTTCCAAACATTCATATTTTCCACTGATTTGATTCTGATGCTATTTTGGAAATTTCACATGTCATTTGATGGGTCTAGCTTTTAACTCTTGTTAATTACTAAAATCTGTTTCTTGATTCCAGTTGTTTTGTTAAACATGATCTTACTTATTGGTTAACCTTGTTGTGGCAGAATTTATAAGGCATCCATGCACTTGTTCATTCATTCATGATCTATATATTCATTGGATGCTTATTCGTCCTTGATAGAGTTCAAAGTTTTGTTATACTCATCCTTAAATCCATGCCATTCTTTGCCAACTCGTCTTGTGTTGGGCTCAAAGCGTAACCCCACAATTGTTCTTTTGTGGCTTTGATAGGATTTATTTTTATTCCTTGTGCTTCCCATATCACCCCAGCCTCTAGTAGCTTATTTCATGGTAAATCTTGTTAAGTAGTTAATGTTCTGCTTATATGATTAGTTGTGATTTGTTATCAGAGTGGCACAGCGAAAGCGTAGTAGGTTATGTTCTGTTCATAAAGAGTTGGTGAGACATTTGTTTTGTCTCGGATTGTGTGAAGCCATTCACCAGTCTAGATGGTCCTCAATTTGAGTTTCGGGGACAAAACTCTTTTTTAGGAGGGGTGGATGTGATACCCCAAAAATTTCTAGAATAAACAAGTGTGAGTTAGGGACTGAATTGTGGAAAAATATTGTTTTGGGACTTATTAGCCAAAATGTCCAAACTTGAAGGTTATGCCTTTTGACTTAACAAATGCCCCTGCAAGATTTTTGGATTTGATGAATTGGGTATTTAGTAAAAACCTAGATAAGTTTGTGGTTGTCTTTATTGACGACATTTTGATTTACTCTTCTAACCATGCTTTTTTGAAAAGCACTTAAGGACAGTTCTCGAGACATTGAGAAGTGAGAGACGGTTTGCTAAATTTAAGAAGTGTGAATTTTGGGTAGATAATGTTGCATTCCTAGGTCACGTTGTGACTAAGGATGGAATCTCCATTGACTCCCAGAAGATTGAGGCCGTGGTGGATTGGAAAAGGCCAAATAGTGTTGTAGAAATCCGTAGTTTTCTAGGATTGGTTGGTTATTATCGCCGATTTATGGGGGATTTCTCTAGAATTGCTCTGCCAATGACCCGTCTGATCAGGAAGGACACCAAATTTGAGTGGACTCCAAAGTGTGAGAAGGGCTTTTTGACCCTTAAAGAAAAACTAGTCACTGCTCCTGTACTCGCACTTCCCATCAATAGGGAAGGATTCACTATATATAGTGATGCCTCTAAAAAGGGTTTGGGATGTGTCTTGATGCAGAAGGATAAGGTTATTGCATATGCTTCATGGCAGTTAAAGCCTTATGAATAAAATTACCCTACCCATGATCTGGAGTTGGCAGCGGTAATATTTTCACTCAAGATCTGGAGGCATTATCTATACGGTGAGACCTGTGAAATTTTTACCAATCACAGGAGTCTTAAGTATATTTTCACTCAAAAGGAGCTTAACATGAGGCAGAGGCGATAGCTTGAACTTTTGAAAGATTATGACTTGACCATTAGCTACCATCCAGGCAAAGCCAACAAAGTAGCAAATGTGTTGAGTATGAAGTCTTTTGGCACTGCCTCTAGCATCCTTACCACCCAGAAGGAGTTACTTAAGGATCTTGTGAAACTAGATGTGGAGTTGAGAGTGGACAGTACTACAGCTTATCTAGCAGCTCTCAGTGCACAACCGGCATTAATTGATAGAATTAAAGTTGCCCAACAAAAAGATCCTTTCTTGCAAAGGTTGAAGGAAAAAGTAAAGACGGGGGAACCCCACATGCAAGAATTCAAAGTTTCTAACAATGAGACTCTGTGGTTTGGTGACAGGCTGTGTGTACCAAGAGATCATGCTTTAAGGCGTGAGATTATGGGAGATACCCATAATACTAGTTACACAATTCACCTAGGTAGCACCAAGATGTATCGTGACTTGCGTAGTACATTTTGGTGGCGGAATATAAAGAAAGAGATAGCTAGATTTGTCTCACAATGCCTGATTTGCCAGAAAGTCAAAGTTGAACACCAAAGATTTCCTAGGAAACCACAGCCGTTACCTATTCCCCAATAGAAGTGGGAGAATATCACCATGGACTTTGTGACGGGTTTACCGCGAACCTTAAAGGGAAATGATTCCATCTGGGTCATCGTTGATTGATTGACCAAGTCAGCACATTTCTTACCTTATCGAACTAGCGCATCCATTGAGAAGCTTGCCAATATGTACATGAATGAGAGAGTCAGGGTGCATGGAGTCCTTGTGTCTATTGTGTCATATAGAGATACAAGATTCTTATCTCATTTCTGGACAAGCTTGCAGCAGGCACTTGGTACTCAATTAAATTTCAGCACGGCCTTCCATCCTCAAACTGACGGGCAATCTGAGAGAACTATTCAGATACTGGCGGATATGTTGAGGGCTTGTGTTCTAGATTGGAAGGGTTCATGTGATCAGCACTTATCCATGGCTGAATTTGCCTATAATAATAGTTACTAGTCTAGCATCCGCATGGCACCGTTTGAGGCTTTGTATGGTCAAAGGTGTAGATCACCTGTTTGTTGGGCAGAGGTAGGCGAGAGAAGCATTTTGGACCCAGAATTGGTGCAACAGTCTTCTGAGATTGTGCAATTGATCAAGGAAGGCCTTCGTGCTGCACAGAGCAGGTAGAAAAGCTCTACGAATAGAAAGAGACGAGACCTTGAGTTTGAAGTTGGTGACCATGTATTTTTGAAGGTGTCATCCACTTGAGGTGTCCTTAGGTTTGGCATTCATGGAAAATTGAGTCTGAGGTATATTGGACCATATCGTATCTTGGAAAGGGTTGGCGAGTAGCTTACCAATTGGAGTTGCCTGAAAATTTAGCAGGTGTTCATGATGTGTTCCATGTGTCATTACTTCGGAAGTATATTCCCAACCCGAGCCACATCATTGATTCCGAACCCATTCAACTTCGAGAAGATCTCACTTATGATGAGCACCCGATCCATATTTTAGATTTCAAGGAGAGGGAAATGCAAAGAAGGACTATTTGTTTTGTTAAGGTCCTCTGGGATAACCATTCGATTGAAGAAGTTACTTGGGAGTTGGAATCCAAGATGAGGCAGGAACATCCGCACCTCTTCTAAGATTGAGGTATGAGTTTAGGGGACTAAACTCCTTTTTAGGAGAGGTGGATGTAATACCCCAAAAATTTCTAGAACAATTAAGTGAGTTAGGGACCTAATTGTGAGAAAATAATATTGTTGAGCTTAATCATCAAACCTTCAAAGTTGAGGGACTTAAAAGAGAAAAGAATTAAGATAAGGATCACCTGATTTTTTTGTTTTCCTTCTTTCTTCCTCCTCAGCCGCGTGTTCTACTCTTCTTCTTCTTATCCCCTGCACCGAACAAGGAACCCAAGCCCGACAACATCACCCACTTGAAAAACCGGTAAGAAAAGCTTGATTTTTCTTTCTTTCCTTGTTTAAGAACAAGATTCAGAGCCTTGAAATCTTTCCCCTCTACAGAAATTTCCAGATCTGCTCTGATTTGTTCCTTCTGTCCGTGCTTCGCTGTGTGTGTGGGTGTGAATTTTCCAAATTTCTGGTAAGAAACAGCCACTGATTCCTCTATGCTTCCTTGAATTGACTTGGGTTTACTCTAATTTCTCTTGGTTTCTCCCAATTTTTGGTAGATCCCAAAAATTTCCCCTACACTTCTGTTGGCTTCCCTCAACCTGCAGCTCCGTTTTGCTTGCTGAAAATTCTGGTATGTGACAGCTCAATCTAAAGTCCAAATTACCCCTTTAATTGCTGAATTTATCCATTTAAATTGCTGCCCTAAGCTGTCCGAAATTCTGCAAAAATAAGTGATGATTTCCAGTAGTGATTAGATCAAAATTGAGCTTAATTCATGTAGAATTTATATGATTGGGTGTTAATTGGCTGTTATGACGTTCTGGAGAAAAAAAATCCCGTGAACTAGCCATTGATTGGCCAAGGCCGGTTCCTCCATGTTGTCTAGGAAATTGGAGAATTTTGTATATGTGTGTTATGTACATCTATATAAATGTACAATCTGATTTCTGTGCTCAATTTTGGATAGAAGAAAAAATGAGAATAAATAAATAAGATTTCTTTATGGGATTAATGGCTAGCAACAATAGGAGGGTTTAAATGTTTAGTTTATACTAAGAAGAAAATTGAGATGTCCGGTCATATGGTTATTAATTCTGGAATATTTTGGTTAGATTCTTGATTGTTCTACCACCCTAGCACTTGGAGTGAGTTTTCTGTGTTATGTGACTGAGGTAAGGAAATTATGGTAATGTCCATCGATTTCAAAGTAAAAGCATATTTTAAATTATTTTTGAGATGGTGGCAAGGTTTAAATTGATTTTATTAGCACTGAGCATGATTGGTTTGAAATGAAATTATTTTCATTTTCATTGAGTAAGAGCATGCCTACTTGGAGTTACTTAACTGCCCTGATGATTTGAAAATTTTTGTAAATTATGATTTTTCTATTAAATCCTTGCCCACATGAAATTTTTCTGGTTTATTCTTGAAATTTGAGATTGATTGTGAATTATGGATTTTCCTGTAAATCCTGCATGGTTTTGTCTCTAATATAGTCATGATTACTTATTATTGACCCTCGCTAGTGGGAGTTTGAAACGCTAGCACATGTCGACATGTTTACTGATAGGACTGGTTCATTATGTAATCCTGCCAATGGGATAATACATTGGTTATTACTAACGCCTGCCAATGGGCTAATACATTGGTTATTACTAACGCCTGCCAATGGGCTAATACATTGGTTATTACTGACGCCTGCCAATGGCAGTTATTAAACACTAGCCATGACTTATAGATGAAACTACTACTAAATCTTATTCTGCATTAACTGTTTATCACTGAGCACTTTGTTATTGATTTATAGATGAGACTACTGTTGAATCTTGTTTTGCATTAACGATTTATCATTGAATGTTTTGTTATGATTAAATTGTTTATCATGCATGCTTAAATTTTACTCACAGGCTACCCATATTTTTACTTATTGAGATATCTTATCTCATAGTTTTCCTTGTCCACCATTTCAGAAAGTGAAAGCCAAGGCATGGTTAACCAGGGAGAGTGATGAGCTAGACGGCTAGTCAGTATTGTGAACTTAGATTCTTTTTGGGCTTAGGCCATTAGCCACACATGCTTGTCATAGATATGAAATGACAAATCATTTTTGTATACTGAGTTTCCCTTGGTTATAGCCATGACTGTTTTATAAACTTTTGTACATCTGGACTAGCAAATTTTTGGTAATTGAAAGCTAGATATTAACCGAGTTTCTAATTTAAGTTATGTAAATTGGTAATTATAAACACAGTAAGTTTCGAGCCTTGTATATTTGTGGGACCCATTCACGAGTTCATGGCGTCTGTTTCGCTCTTGGTTTTGGGGCATGACATACATAGTTAGAGAGATTTTTCAACAATTTTGAAGTGGGGAAATTTGACTTGTGTTGCTGGGGTAGATAAGGTCGCAACAGGCCTCGCGCGCTAGGGAATCCTTCGTAGTCCCCATCCTTGTCCCCTCCCCATTCCTGTTCCCACGAATGGTAGGGACAATGATTTTTGTGGAGATTTTGGCTAAATTCAATAAATAATTTATTAATTATGTGATTTATTTTAGTTTAATTTAAAAATAAATTTTTTTTAAGAATTATCTATAAATTGTCAATTTTGTTTTAAAATGGTCTATTTGACAAACATTATGTTAAGACTAACGGAATGTTGGTCTAG